AAAAAAAAAAAAAAAAAACAAAAAACACTTTACAATAAAAAATGCTGATCCCCTCATCAAAGTATCAGTATACTTTGAGAAGGCAAGACTGTATGTCAAGCATTTCTGAAACATGTCAAACAAAAACTCCTGAAGTTTCACTAAAGTGCTTTCTCTTAAGATGTATGGTGAATGAGGGAATCTTGTATTGAATAACACACCACTGACTATAAACTACTGGCAGTATGATGAATTTACTGCCAGCAATCCAGGGCCACTGCTGCGAAAACAAAGTTAAGACTAGGTGATATTATCATAAACAGTGAAAGAGGCCTGGCATGGCGGCTCACGCCTGCTATCCCAGCACTTTGGGAGGCTGAGGCAGGAGGATCGCTTGAGCCCAGGAGTTCGAGACCAGCCCGGGCAACAAAGTGAGACTTCATATCTACAAAATAATAATAATAATAATAATAATAATAATAATAATAAAAAGCCTAGCATGATGTCATGCATCATAGTTCCAGCTACTCGGGAGGCTGAGGTGGGAGGATTGCTTGAGCCCAGGGGGTCGAGGCTGCAGTGAGCCAACATCATACTACTTACATTCCAGCTTGGGCAACAGAGCAATAGCCTACCTCAAAAAAAATAAAATTGACAGTCAAAAGGTTATTATGAAAGGCCAGACTTAAATTGTTTTCCCCAAGATACTAGGAAATACACAACTTATTAAGTCTATGCTTACATTTAAGTCACATTTTAAAAAAAAGCCACTAAAATCCCATGCTTTAATGATATTAGTATACAATTCAAAACACTGTACCATGGTATCCCCTCACTGGTACTTAGAACACAAATGAAATACATCTTAAAGTATCATCCTATTTGGAATGTGCAAGACATAATTTACTAAGTTGATTCAACAATTAGGGACTGAATTTTATTCTCAAAGGGATGATCACAAAACATGAGAATTAAACAAACATTCCTATAAAAGAAACTGATGTTCTTTTATTCAACCTGAGTTAAAACCACAATGAATCTTATCAGAGTTCATGGGAATCAATAAATGACTAGTAAACCACTCACAAAGTCAAAGCCATCAACATACTGAGATCACACACAATTAGTTAGTGCTACAGTTCAAAACATACCCTTTAACTTCTTTAGCATGCAAAGAAATCATAAAAGTAACGTCTGTAAGCACTAACCAAAAATTTAAAAAATTCAATAGCACAATTCTACAATTCTGATTTTACCAAGAAAATAAACCTTTTTGGCACAAACTGTTCTATCAAAATGGAAAGCTGAGTCAGGCTGGTCTGCTTTTCACAACACAAATAAGCATTCATGCTATCAGACTTGGGAAATTAACTCAGTGACAAAAATTCACTGGAAAATAGAATCCTTGGAAAAACGGGGTTAGGTGCCATCACTGAGAGGCAATGATAAAGGGTGTCCTTGGGTATTAGCACAAAGTTAGGCAAGACAGTATAATTTCAGCTACATGCAACTCTATAGGAACACATGGGGATAAGGCCTGAAAGTTACATGCAAGAGTGAAAAGAACTGCTGTGTTGGGATTGATGAATGATGGGTGTTTTTCTTTAAATGTCATTTCACCTTTTAAAGGAAAATAAATCAAGTAGTCAGGTAACAAAGATTATTGAAAAGAGAGACTAAAGATCAGAAGACTGGCAAATTGAGAAAATGAAGTTTCATGGTTAAGAGTGACTCAGGAAGGGTGTCTTAGTCACGAGGGTTGGTGGAAGACAGTTTACGTCTTTGGGTATTTATGGCAGGTCAGAATTAAAGATTTAATTTTTTTCCCATACTATTTACATAAAAAGCTGGTTTATCTGAAAAACGTTATCAATCCAGACTTGCCAATAAAGTGGCACTTAGGGACTGTATTATTGATACCTACAACGACTGCCTGGAGGCACAAAAAACCCTGAAGGGCTTTTTTTTTTTTTTTTTACAAAAAATAAAAACCAAAAAAAAAAAAAAACCAGTTAATTTTTGTTTGGTCAAGTCTACTCAACCAGACCACCTTGATACCAACAATGCTTGAGAGCATTTGGCAAGAGCAGCGCCACAATGCCAAATTCCTTGGAAAGGTGGCCTTCCTGTGATAATTTCACCAACTGGCAAATTTGTGGGGTTTTTTTGGTAGTAGCTTTTGAGAATGTTAGTTTCTGGCTGGGGCAGTGGCTCACACCTGTAATCCCAGCACTTTGGGAGGCCAAGGTAGGTGGATTGCTTGCACCTAGGAGTTCGAGACCAGTCTGGGTAACATGTGAGACTCCATCTTTATTTTTATAAAATTAGAAAAGAAAAAAAAAGAGAATGTTACTTTCCTATAAGGCCAGGATACCCTGAGTACTGAGACATGTCTGTGGTTGTCCTTTCCTTCATAACATTTCTCATAATCTGTAATTTATTTCTCATCTGTCTCCCCTGAAAGGGCAGGGGACTTGTTTATTCTGTTCATTATCATATATATACCCAGCACGTAATGTCTGGTACATGTAAGTGCTCAATAGATATTGGATGAATGAATAAAGTATGAATGAATCTCATATAGTCCAACAGACCTAGGTGAAAAGTGAAAAGAAAAAACACCTAAAAAATACTTAAGGAAGACAGATAAGCAAGAGTTCTATCAGTTGAGGTTATCAGACTTGATGCCAAAAAAACTATCATCATTCCACAGCTGACAATAGTTGTTTAGAGATTCAAAATATCTGAAAGATTTCAATTGAAAGTTAATACAAAAACAGTGTTCTCTGGAAGACTAATTTACAAATAATTAAAGGCCTGTTGCTAAACCAAGATACAACAGGAGCCTAACGTTTTATTTGTTTCAAGGGGGAGAAGACTCTGCTGCATACACTTGAATGTCTAGATTTCCATAGAGGGCACGTAGCATACTGAGGACCTTTTCTTGAATGATGTCAACTTGGTCAGAAGGACAGTAATCATCCAGACTTGACCTAGAACCAAGAAGAGAAAGAAAAAAATACACATAGGATAAAATCATATTCTGAGGAAAAGCTGCATGTGTTGATTTCAATGTAAAACAGAAATTAAGGTGTGCTGGATTTTGGATTAGTATCGGTTGAAAGCTAGTAAATGTTTACCCTATGTGAGGCACCTTACATAAATTATGTTCTTTAATTTTCATAGCAACTCTATGAAATAGGCACAATTATTATCCCTTTAAGGAAATCTGAAACACAGAGATTAACTTGTGCAAGGTGACGTGGTGTGAGCTTTAGTGCTTCATTGCTAGACCACTGTGTGCCCGAAAGCGAGATGATGCTTGGGAATGCAGGAGCTTACTATCTTAGTGATTGGACATCTTTTATTGTATGTATGCTAGGGCTAGAATGATGAGGGTTGAGGTTTTCTAACTGATAAAAGGATTCTATTTCTAAAAATGATTTGTTAACTACAAAAGTATAAAGGATTGATGGCTTGGTTCAAAATGAAATGTGGTGATGTGCTGGTGTTGGATTTAGTTTCCTAGGCAGTAGGAAGCAGAGACGAGCCAAGTGAGTTGGGGCAGAGATTTGCATTTTGGGAGTCTTTCCAGAACTCACCAGCTACAACCTGAGTTGCACTGGGCAGTTACAATGCTGCTGCCAATTATGCCTGGATTAACCAGTGTCTCCTGGTTCTGGATAAGGGTGACTAAAGGCTTTTAGAGGATAGAATGAGAAGAGCAGCACAGAAATCTTTATAGAAGGAACTGGAATTAGTCATCTAGCCTAATCCTTAGTACAAGTATTTTAACGTAAAGACCTAATCTGTAAGACCACTGATAAACTCATTCCATGCTCTGGTAACAGGTTATTTTTGTGGCTTAATGTGAAAATTTAAGACACATTCAATAATATTAAAAAAATTATTTTTTAAAAATTTATTATTTTTGAGATAGAGTCCTGCTCTGTCACCCAGGCTGGAGTGCGGTGGTGCAATCTTGGCTTACTGCAATCTCTGCCTCCTGGGTTCGAGCGATTCTTCTGCCTTAGCCTCCTGAGTATCTGGGATTCCAGGTGCCTGCCACCCTGCCAGGCTCATTTTATATTTTTAGTAGAGACTGGGTTTCACCATGTTGGCCAGGCTGGTCTTGAACTCCTGAACTCAGGTGATCCACCCTTGGCCTCCCAAAGTGCTGTGATTACAGGTGTGAGCCACCATGTCTGGCCTGAGAAACTACTAAATACTAACATACACATATGAACAAAGGCCTACTTTATTTTTTGAGACAAGATCTTCCTTTGTTGTTCAGTAGCATGATCATGGCTGACTGCAGCCTCAACCTCCTGGGCTCAAGCGATCCTCTCATCTCAGCTTCCTGAGTAGCTGGGACTATAGGTACATGCCACCATGCCCAGCTAATCGTGTGTGTGTGTGTGTGTGTGTGTGTGTGTGTGTGTGTGCGTGTGCGCGCACAAGCACGCACATGTGAGGTCTCACTATGTTGCTGAGGCTGGTCTTGAATTCCTGGGCTCAAGCAATCCACCCATCTCAGGCTCCCAAAGTGCTAGGGTTACAGATGGAAGCCACTAAGCTCAGCAAGACCTAAAGTGTCATATGTAAAAACTTAATTTACAAGTCTTAACAAATAAAGGATACTGCAATGCTTTTGAAAATATTTTTGACCTTTTTTTTGAGACAGGGTCTCATTTTGTTGCTCAGGCTGGAGCGCAGTCATGTGATCTTGGCACACTGCAGCTCAGCTCCACAAGTAGCTGCGACTACAGGCAAATGCCATCATGCCCAGCTAATTTTTTCTGTTTTTTGTAGAGACAGCATTTTGCCATGTTGCCCAGGCTGGTCTCAAACTCCTGAGCTCAAGCGATTCACCTGCCTCTAACTCCCAAAATGCCAGGATTACAGGCATGAGGCCACTGCACCTCTCCAATTTTTGACTTCTTTAAACACTATTAGAGTGGTTCTTGATGGGAGCTACTCCCATAAGGGTGTTTTGAAAATCTCTTAGTACATTTTTGATTGACACAGTAACTAGATGAATCCTACTGACATTTAGGGGACTGGGACAAGAGGGCTGGGCTGCTAGAAGGCTTGCAACAGGCAGGATCATCCTGTGATATGAACAGCTGTGCTGTGTCTTGAATATTTTCAAAGTCTACTGAGTACTCAAGTAAGTGAAAAGGCAATTTTTTATTTTTTGAGCCTATGATACAGTTTGGCTGTGTCCCCACCCAAATCTCATCTTGAATTGTATCTCCCATAATTCCCATTGCTGTGGGAGGGAGCTGGTGGGAGATAACTGAATCATGGCAGCAGTTTCACCCATACTATTCTCATGGTGGTGAATAAGTCTCATGAAATCTGAGGGTTCCATAAGGAGAGACCCTTTTTGCTTGGTTCTCATTCTGTCTTTGCATGCTGCCATCCACTTAAGATGGGACTTGTTCCTCCTTGCCTTCCACCATGATTGTGAGGCCTCCCCAGCCACGTGGAACTGTAAGTCCAATTAAAGCTCTTTCTTTTGTAAATTGTCCAGTCTTGCGTATGTCTTTATCAGCAGTGTGAAAACAGACTAATGCAGCCTAGAATGGAACATTCTTCTATATATAAAAGTATTAAAAAATGCATTAAATACCAACTACTCTGTAAATTGGGAAAAGACTGGACTTTAACTGCAGACCCTTATGAAGAGGCTGCTCAATGACTAAAAAAAACCTTGTCATTATGGCAGTGTTGCTTGTGGCATCTGGTCAACACATGGTATCTGTCTGCATTTGTAACTGCTACATTTACATCACGCAGTGTAACTGCTACCGTACATTTTTAACTGCATCTCTTAAAGAGGTGAGTCTAGTGTGGCATTTTAATATATTTTATTATCAAATATGTTAATTCCTCCTATATGTATAGGTATTATGTGTATGGTAGGTTATATTACCTATAATGTATATTATCTATGTTTACATTATAGGTAATATGAATATTATCTATATATTTGAATTATATATATGTAATATATATATGTGTATATATATTACATAATATATATATGTGTATATATATATGTGTGTATATATATATATAAAATGTATATATATACACACATATAACATACATATATATGTATATATATATATGTAGGTTACATAATATGAGGTTTTAGAATGATAAAAGGATGTTACAAGGCCAGGTGCAGTGGCTCACACCCGTAATCCTAGCACTTTGGGCGGCCAATTACCTGAGGTCAGGAGTTTGAGACCAGCCTGGCCAACATGGTAAAACCCTGGCTCTACTAAAAATAAAAAATTAGCCGGGTGTGGTGGCATGTGCCTGTAGTCCCAGCTACTCACGAGGCTGAGGAAGGAGAATTGCTTGAACTTGGGAGGCAGAGGTTTCAGTGAGCTGAAATCATGCCATTGCACTCCAGCCTGGGCAACTCCGTCTCAAAAAAAAAAAGGATGTTACAAAATGTTTGTCATGAATTACATATCATTAGTCTGAGTGTTTAAAGTACTTATTTTAGAACCTTATACTTCCATATAAACCAGCCCAAATATTAACATAGGAAGGCATTATTAAATTGTTATAATTATTCAGTAATTATGTTCAAATTTAAAACATGGCAGCAGCTGAATATTCATTGGTAGGACACAGAAATGAGGATTCTTGTGTTCATCTGAAAATTCTTGTGTTCACCTGAACATTACCAACTTCAAAGACAAGATAACAATTACTACATTGTGTATCATCACTGATACAGAAAATACAACATCTAAATTTTGAGCTGAGTAGGTAAAAAAAAAATAGTATTATTATATTAGAAATCATTAGATTTACCTACAGAGATTGTATTAGTTTCCTACTACTGCTATAAAACATTACCACAAACTTAGTAGCTTAAAGCAACACTAATTGATTATCACATAGTTTTGGAGGTCGGAAGTCCTAAAATAAAAGTGCCGACAGGGCTGCATTCTTTTTGTAAGATCCCAGGGATAATCTATCCCTTGGCCTTTTCTAGCTTCTAGAGGCTGCCTGTGTTCCTTAGTTTGTGGCCCCATCCTCCATCTTCAAAGCCGGCAGTGTAGAATTTTCGAATCACACTCTGATTTTGATCCTCCTGCCTTTCTTTCTAAGGACCCTTGTGATTACATTGGGCCCACTTGGTGAATCCAGGATAATCTTCTCATCTCAAAATCCTTGGGTTAATCATGCTGCAAAGTCCCTTTTTTTTTTTTTTTTTTT